TAACAATGTAAATTTTATTGAAAGTTTGCTAGTAAGTTACCGTTTTATAACTTATCAAAGTTGACGTATTTTTTGCGTGTGATGTGTTACACCAAGATTTTGTCGATACTTTTTTCCGGTGAGTGTATTCGTCAATGTCTTGACTTTGCAAAAAAATACCAGCACTGAACCATTGAAGACTGGAAGTGTGTCATTTGGTCAGATGAGACCAAAATAATCGATTGGGGTTGGATGGGCAGGGCTGCATGACAGCTCAGGGAGTTGGCTACGCCTGTCGAATATAAATGAGAACTTTATACTTGTATTCTTGGAAAAGAATCTAAAGCCTTGAATATTATGGGATGGAAGTAAATAAGATCAATTTCCAAAAGGACAATGATCCCAAACACATCTCCCAGCTTGCCCAAAAATGGCTCAAGGACAACAATGTTGAGGTGCTAGATTGGCCAGCTCAATCATCAATTGAACACCTATGGCAGCACCTCAAACGCCAGCTTGCCACTTATACTTATGAGACAGATCCAGAGAGTATGCATGAGTTATGGGAGTGTGTGGAGGCTGAGTGGAATAAGATTCCATCACAAACATGTGTAGATTTAATAACAAGTACAGTCAAACCCCGTTATACCGATCCCCGTTATACCGATAACCTCTTTATAACGATGAAAAACGCCCCCAAAATTTAAATAGAAAATTTTACCCGTTATACCGATAAATTATAATAAACCCCGCTATAACCTTATACCGATACATCAAGGCCATTTTCTATTAAATCTCACCCCGCTCTACCGATAATCGTGTAACATTTACTAAATTGGGAATGATATCAAGCATTTTGATTGGCTGATCATTCTGTATTTACAACGAACCTTGGAACAAAATTTTTTCTGCAAAAAATGTCACAGCTTAATATTAACACAAAACTCATGCACAGAAGAAAGAAATATGCACTTTAATTTTTTATTAGTCCATGTGAAAAAACAATAAAGCTTGACACCTTCATCCAACACCCCTGATAAGCGATATTTTTGTGTATCAATCATATATTATCGGTAGAAAAGAAAACCCCCGATTTACCGATGCCCCGCTTTACCGATAAATTTTTGGCGGAACAAAAATATCGGTATAACGAGGTTTGACTGTATGCCTAGGCGTGTTGCTGCTGTCCTAAAGGCCAAAGGTGGCCGCACAAAATATTAATAAAACATTATTTTCAAAAATTTTAACATAGGTTACAAAACAGCTCAATGCACTAATAAAATTCAAAAAATTATAACTCTTGAATATGAAGTACTGAGTCTTTTCAAATAAAACGAAGGTAAATTAAAGTCAGAATGTAAGACTTTATTCAGTTTAAAGTTTATGTAAATTGGTTGAATATTTGTGGAGTTATAAGCCTACACATTCAATTTTTTCAAACATTGAGCTGGGTTTTGTGAGTCACTGTATAATTAATAAAGTTAGAGGGTCCGATACTTTTGTCCGGGTAGTGTATCTGTGGTCCCTTCTATAATTTTTCTTCATCGATAACAATCTCTTCTGTCTCGATAATATCATAAAGAGTTTTCCAAATTTGTAAACTTTAGTCTTTGTTATTGCTTCAAAACTCGTAAATCTCTTGAATAACCACTCGTCCTTTGCTTTCAAAATTTTTGCAACTGTGCTGGAATCCAGTTATATTCTTCTGTTAATTGTTTAATAATTAGTATTAGTGACAAATTAGCTTGCTTTCGTTGGCTTTTAATTTATAGTCAAGCGCATACTTATTTTTATTTATAGTTTTATCTTGTCAGCGTAAATTTAAGAAAATGCAAATTTATACCGATACAAAACAATATTTATACATAAACGAGTGATTCAAATTCCAGTAAACAATAATTTATTTATATAATATAACTACAGAAAGGCGTGAGACAGATTATATGGATTGTTAATTACTGCTAACAGTTTTTTTGGATTATATTATACAATGACAAATGAGCGATATTGCAGATCAGAAGTTTAAATTTAAAATAATATAATAATGTATGTTGATAGAGTATCAATGGGTATGACATCAAAATTGTTTGGACAATATATTGCAACAAAGCAATTCTCAAAAGTAGTAGTCTTATGCAATTTGTTATTTTGCCAAATTTAGCCTGTCTTTACTGTTTAATAAATGTCTGCAATCTAAATAAAAAACCAGTCTCCAAAGACGATGCTTGCTCATTAAAACGGCAGAATACAAAGTAAATCAAGTCGGATGCTAAAAAACTAATTATATCAGAAGAGACAACTGCTATATTTTAGAACATAATACTTTGATATTATTATTGCAAGAGTCCATATAACAAGTTTTTTGTAACTGCATTTAATATTATATTTAGCCAATTGCATCGTACGCACAATCGTTTTTCTTGAATTGATGAGTCGTTGATTCGTCTACCGGCAGCCGACTTTTGAACTGACAGATTGTTTTCAATTTTTGAGAAGACAATATTAGTGAGCAGTTAGCAAATGAATAATTATTTCGACATTAATCAATAATTCATAAAATAAAAATATACATGCATTTTCTCATTCATTTTTTATTTTTGAACATCCTGTCGTAATGGACCGAATGGAGTCGCTTGCAACTTAATCATTACATAGTTTAACATTGTCTAATGCCCTACATTACTTTATGCTTATTATTTTTACCCTTGACCAAAGCAATTTCTGTTATACGAAATCGGTACTAGAATTGATGATGCTAGACATCACTAATCGACTAACCAGAAAATTATCCACTCTTTAATAATTTCGCAAGCGGTGTGTGGTCAAGAAGAATGATAATCCAACTCATCATCAGTATTCAGTAAAAAATCGTGGTTTCTTTTCGCACAATGGTTACACTATATCTGTAGCGTTTTAACATTGCCCCACATACATTTTTACAAGTACCAATCAATAACTGTATGCGTTGTTCTTAGTCAACGAATTGTGTTACTTTTTTGTGTTTCTGAACTCTTTTTAGTATTAGGACGGTTATGCAAGCCGATCATACCAATATCGCAAAATCAAAATTTATCAATTTAAATCGTAACGATGGTTCGCCAGCATGCATCAGCTTTTTCGACATATTGTGACCCAAAATCCACGCCATCAACTGTGACATAATGATGTCTTGTTTGTTCTGTAACCAAATTAGTTGAGTTAGAAAAACCAAAGCTCTGCAGAATTTTTATTTGGGGTTTTGTGGCACTACGTATAAGGTAAGAACACTACATTAAAGATCGCAGATCAATTCGTGAGATAGCAACTGAAACATCTCCAAACACTACTAATAGACACTTCAATACTAGTCTCTTCTCCATCTTATAGAAGCTCAGTTGAGCTTTCGCAAACATTCTTTTCAATATTATATAAACACTATTATATGTAACAAAGGACTATGTTCGAAGAGAAATCAAATAGCATAGCACGAGTATACTTTTTTAGCCTAGCATCCAACTACGGCAGAATATTAAGTAGAAAGAATAACGCCATCAGAGCGCTACTACTGCTGTTAATAATTTCAACGTCAGTTTGGCTACTGTATTCCAAACCTTGGGCAGCAACATCACTGTCACAAGATGCTTTCGGCGATAAGACCGCAGCAGACACGGTAAACGAGACATCACAATCTAAAGAGCAAATAGACCTAAATGTCACGATAAATTCGAGGACCAGCGCATTTACGAGAGAACAGTTTACTGAGAAAGCGTTAAGCAAGAATGGACTTATTCCTGTGACCGCTGTGCTGTTAGGATGGAAGCGTCTAGAGGGTTTGCAGATCATCGTTTCTTATATTTCAAAGTATCCGTTCATTAAGGAGATAATTGTGTGGAATAATAATAATAATATTAGGCTTAATGCTGAGGTATGAATTGGCAAATAAATTATACAGTATTTTCCAAATATCAAGTTACGGTAGTGAATTTGAGCTTCTTAGTTATCGAATCTACGCTTTTCGATGAGATTTTGACTGATTTTTTCCTTTGACCGTTCAACAGAGAGATTTCACCCTGAATAATACTGATGTTGTTTTACATGTCTTCAATTCGGATGAGAATCTTCATGATTTATCAAAGTACACAACGTGTGCGATGGCCACATACGACTACTGCTATTTCCAAGATGACGATTGGCTCAATTTATACATGGATAGTATCTACAGCAACTTTCTGAGGAGTCCTAATCTTATTCATTCTAATACAATGCCAATCATTCATCTCGAACATCGCAGGTGGACATTCACGAATGCTGGTATGGATGCATAAACGTTGAATTTAGTTATTGTCTTGGGTTTGCAGATAATCTAAAATTGCGTATGGCGTTGTTCGATTTATACCCTTAATATAGATAAAAAGCTTCACACTGGGTTTACATGGCTTGGTTGCGGGTCATTTGTCCCCAGGGCTAAAGTACAGCAGTTCCTTAGACAAGTTGGGTCAACTGCCATGCCCAAGGATCGTCTTCGTCTCCTGGATATGTACTTTTCATTGTGGACAAATCAGTATCCATATCAGCTATCCAACCCATTGACTCCGTTAGAACAGGAAGGAGCTTGGAGCACTGGAGTGGATCAATGGGCGATCGTATACGCTAATATTGTAAGTGGCATAAATTTAACATGTTGAAAACTTTTAAAAAAACATATCACTGACAAGACGTTAAACGTGTGATCGTAGCTTGATGCAGTTCAGAGACTGTTTAAAGCTCTCGCAGTTAACACTGGTTCGGAATATTATGTAAGAGATGAAGAGAGGCCAATGTTTAATAATCGCGATGTCAGGTACAGTTTATATCTAGCGTGCATCGGGTATATGCGGGTTCACTAACTCTTGATTATTTTCCCGTAGAGCTCCTTGCACAAATGACAAATGTCTTTTTCTCACAAACATTGATCCGTTCCCTTCTCCAAGGAGCGTGTATTATGCAAATAATATCACTCATGTTCACGAACAAGAAGCTAGATTTAACCGACTAAATTTCCCCAGCAATGATTTTTGGGATAAGCATGCTTATCATACGGCAGTGGACACAAATGTCAACACTTGTTGGAACTCTTTCAAAAGTAATATTTGGGTTTATAAATTTCTGGTACATAGACTATTCTGGCGCAGCGAACAACCTACTCACTCGTTATCCATTAGATCCTAAATCAGGCGATTACTTTGGACTACAATTTGTGGTACCTAGAAAATTCAATAAGATAACGTTGACATCATCAAAAGATATCAGCAAATACGACGCATCATTTAATATCCATATTTCTGATAATGGCCGTGTATGGGTGAGTTGAGTCTCTCTATTTAACGGAGGGAAAGGCTGTTTAACGCAACACCTTATATGTAACTCACTGGATATCTCTGTTAATCACACAGAAAACGTGTAACAGGCGTAATCTAACCGATAAAGAGAATGAAGAATATCTTTCCAACTCCCAAATTAATAGTATTACAATATATTTTGACTGTGGCACGAAAGGTGAAGAGCCAACGAAATTTGTGAAGATATCAACTTCGCGCAATTTCCCCGAGCCATTAGAAATATGTTCGATTAAATTAGATGGACTGGAAGTCTAATGTATTATAGATTAATATTATAGAATTCTATCATTAAACACCCAATCAGCTGATGCATTTCAAGTTTCGCTAACGTCCAAACGGCTCGCTGCCGCCTCAATAGCCGCGTTCAGTTTCATCTGTGCGTTCTCACACATTTTCAACTGCAAGCAGACAAATACTGTGAGTGGTTACCAGATATGAGTTGTAATGAATGAGAAAAACGGAACGTCCAATTACCACAGTATCCTCTTGTAACAGCATCAGATTCCTTGAACAAATTTCTTTCTGCAAAGCGATAATTTTTTGCGCTTTATTCAGCTTTCCTAACTGAATTAAACCTTCTGCATAGTATATCCAACACTTGGTCTCTAAAATAGGATCTTTGAGACGTTGAGCCGTTCGTATTTGTCTGAGTGCCAATCTACGGGCTTTGTCAGCCTTACCAGGAGGGAAACAGTTGGAAAAGGCGATGGGAGGAACGAAAAATTATAAACGTTAATGTCTGGAATGAAAGTACAGTCAACGGTCTGATCCCTTACATGTTGTTTGCTATATCTTCCAAGACCAGAGTATGCTCCACCCAGCACTGAGAAAAAGGTACTTTGAAGTTCAAGTATTCTCTGATGCACGAAAAGCGTATATATTCTCTTGGACCTTCAGTCATAAACCTAATTAGTAATTGGAAGCTTTAAACATATCGGATACAGAAAAAGTTATAATTTAACAATCAATTACAATACTACCAAGCAAGTTCCGGCGACACTATTAACAACTGTTTGCTGGGTTCAAATTCCAAGCGAAACTCCACCGCCAATAACTCACATGTACTCGGCAATAAATCATTCTCGTAGCAAAAGGTAAGAAGGATTTTCAGAACGCGAACGAAAGAGGTATCACGGGTAGACTGGAACAATTCAGAAAGTATGTGGTAAGTATGACTTGACCACAAAAGAATTCTTATAAAGTATTTGTCAACGTCGGCAATCGAGCCTTCTATTTGCATATCGAGAGTGGTCCGGAAGGAAGCCCGTGCGCTTTTGTAACGTTTTCGTTCTTTGATTGCGCGTAGGTACGTTTCTGGAAGAAAAGGTGCCACGTTGTAAGAGATCAATGACGGAAGAAACCTCAATATTTAGATGGCACGAAAAAAACAGAAGAGGTACCAAAAGGTTTGTCGTTCCATAAAAGTTTTTTCTCGGCAGCCTCCAGGTACCGGCTACTGAAGGTAGAATCATAAGTTGTAGAGATGGTGAGCGCGGTGAGATATCGACTAGGGTTTATCATTATTATGTCTCTCTTTAGAAATAGTAGTTTTTTGTAACCGGGGTGATCAGCATCCTCTGTTTTTCAACGTGCTGACCAATCATTTCTATTTATCTCAACTGTTCACATGACATTTACATAACATATTTAAATGGCCTCTACTCATTTGAGCAGGAGAAATATCTCCCTGATATCTTAATTTGAATCACCAATTCGATCTCGCGCTAATAATACATTCCTATGGCCATGGACCAGATGGATATAGATGACGCGCCTTCTACAACTGTCAGTGGTGAGCTTTTTGTTCCATTATATACGCTTTACACTTGCTCTTATTCTCCTATCATGTTTTCCCTCTCTTACACTGGCAGTTCTCTAACATTCCAACTCAACTAGTAGACTCTGTCCGTGGGACAGTGACGGGGCTTGTATATGATCCACGTATGCGACTTCACGGAAACATATACGAGGATGAACATCACCCCGAAGATCCAAAACGAATCTCTGCCATCTACAAAGCACTACTGGGGTCTTCCTGTGTAAAGAGAATGGTCAGAATACCTGCGAGAGAGGCGACAAGAGAAGAAGTTCTTCTTGTTCATGCCAAGGAACATTGGGATAAGATTATTAGCACTGTAGGTAGGTGACTTTTTTTTTGCAGTCGGTTCATGGGTAATGGGGCTAAAGGGCCTAGCAGGATATGTGAAAGTTGTTTGTTCGCGTAATTACATGCCCAAGTATTTATTGATTGGTTTCTCCATTCGATTATTTTGTCTTTCTTTCAGATAAGTCTGATGAGCAATTACAGAGGATGGCCAACGGTTATAACTCGATATATCTTAACAACGAATCTGCTCTCTCGGCGCGTCTAGCATGTGGCGGTGTGATAGAGATGTGTCTATCGGTCGTAAACGGAAAAGTCAACAATGGGTTCGCGAATGTGCGACCTCCCGGACATCACGCCGAGCCGGGGCAAGCCATGGGTTTTTGTCTGTTTAACAATGTTGCTGTAGCCGCCAGATGTTTACGACGTTATCATAATGTTGAAAGAGTGTTTATTTTGGACTGGTAAGGAAATTAAGGCAGAAAAGGTGTGCGCAGGAAGTTAATTGATTAGCATTTAGTGTCTTCAGACCGGCTTCTTGGACTTATCGAGTTTGTATTTTACTTTCTTTTTTCAATAGGGATATACATCATGGTAATTTCGCTGACAGTTTCTCTTCTTATCTGACTTTGTGTTACTAATCGATATCATCGCTTAGGGAATGGTACACAGAAGGTATTTTATGACGACCCAAACGTAGTGTATTGCTCAATACACCGTTACGAGAATGCGCGTTTTTATCCTGGTGATGAAGAGGCCAATTACACACACGTAGGAGGGAATGGAGCACGGGGAAAGCATGTATCAATTTTTTCCAACGATAGATATATAATGACTAGTCTTAACCCGCCTGTTACTTGAATATTCGTCATATTTACCCAATAATTTGATTAACTTGATAAATAGAACGATAAATATACCGTGGCCACGCAAAGGAATGACAGATAGCGATTATATATACGCGTTTAATAGAATAGTAATGCCTATAGCGTACGAGTTCGGACCAAATATTGTTATTGTATCGGCTGGATTTGATGCCGCTAGAGGTGAGGAAACTTTACTTAGTAACATTGTAAATGACCGATTCCTGAAGAGACAAATGATGACATTAGGTGACCCCATTGGTGAGAATGATGTGACACCAGCTGGATTTGCTCATATGACAAGTTTGCTAAAGAATTTGTCGGGAGGTAAACTTGTACTGGCATTGGAGGTAAGTAAACTGGCTGCGTTGGATTTTTACTTAGTTCTATAGTGATTAACATGGTCGAGCTTATTTCCTAGGGCGGTTACAATATTAATTCAATATCAAAATCCGCTCTCGCTTGTGTAAAAGTATTACTTGGAGAAGATCCTCCTGACTTGGGCCCGATCAGCCCTAGCAAAGACTGTATTGAAACAGTACATCAAGTCACGAAAATTCAATCACAGTATTGGAAATGTTTGGCTCCAAGTAATATAGATGAGGGGGAAGGTATAATATTTGTGAGGATTATGTTATATGGAATACAACTTGCTCATTGGGTTTTTTCTGACTAGAGATTACCCTTACTATAGCAAAAGCTCCCGGGAAAATGGTTATAAACATGACCGGTGAGTGTTACGCGAAGATGATAGTTGCTTGGGTACATTAATAGACGATTTCTTAGCATCTCTGAAGATACGTTTTTGCCAAATGCATTGTCTTCTACAGAAATGTTGAGAATAATTCGGGCAAGGGGGCTTCTTACAAAATATTCAATGGTGCCTTTACCGATATCCGATGAGCGGCTTGCTACAAAATTTTATGAGCACGTCTTGTGCAGGTAAAGAATTTCATATGTCACTCGATCACCGTTTTATGCATCAAGAACTTAACCATAGTGGCTATTAGCAAGAAGATGTACGAAAAGAAAGTACTATTTCTCTTTGTGCACGAAATGTGAGTTACGTTTATACATGGAACATGGCTTTTTTGCTTTACGTGTGGAGAAACATTTAGATTGACCAAAATTTCTTGATACTTTTCAGGCCCGATTTCAGGTATTGCTTTTGTCAGCTTTCGCTTTGAATTGTCAAACGTAGTTTGCTAATAAAGTGTCCTCGTTGTAGGGCTGATTTGAAGGCACATACAAATAGTGTAAATCACTCGCGGTCATATATGGTTTGTAATATTTATGTTGCATACCATTTAATGGTCTGTGACTAATGCAGCACTTTTTTCGCAGGTGGACAGCATGGTTTACTATATTGAAAACGTGGTACAAAATCCGGATTATGGTATAATAGATGTTGCCATCCCTTCGGTATGTATAATATGACCAATTGAGACAGTTCCCCTCATAAAGTTTCTAGTCCTGTTAATTATGTAGAGCACAATTTATCAGGGTGACAGCAGAACTCGTTCAGATTTAGTTGAACTATTAGTATACTTATGGGATAACCATATTCAGTAAGTTTTTGAGAGTATTCTAATATATTTCGTTTACACGTTTCTAACATCCCATTTATAAGAATTGCATCAGCAGACCGAGTGGTTTTATTAGGGGCCAGTATAGGCTGTCATTGTTTAGCTACTCTTATAAATGATAGAGGTAATATAGCCATGGCGCTGTGACATTAATGTGCTTGCACCAATATGTTTACATATTAATTAATACTCATTCTAGAGCAACTAGTTATGTCAAAGGTTATCTGTTCAATATTGATACCAGGTGATTGCCCAGTACCTGCAGTCACAAAAAGACCAACCCTAACAAGTTGGTACTATGAAGTAAGTTATAGTTCACAGTCATTGCTACTTTGAAGATTGAGTATTGACAACGAATATTATATAATCTAAAAATTGTCTCTAGAGATCGTTCATTGCCATTGCACAGAATCACCTACACTTTTCAAAAAAACCAAATCGAACAAGTCATGCCTTTGGAAACATTGTATCTGCAGGTTTGGGGATAGCAAATTTCAAAAAGTTTTTAATTTATCATTTAGGTTGCATTGTACTAACGCTCTAAAAAATGGCTTTTCTTCTAAATACCTATCTCTCAAACCTAAATTAACATTTAAGAATATCTTAATGATCTGCCAATTCAGGATATATTAGTCCGTTTACAACAGGATATATTTGGTTATGTTAGCAATGTATTAGCAGAAAAATCTCCTGTGAACGAGGAGGAAAGAATCTAGACTGTCCCGGACAATAATTAGCCATTATTAAGAACATTGGAAAATTTCTTGGTGTTATAATGACTGGGTGAGGAAAGAAGACGTAGGAACTTGTAACTTTTTCATACTAATCACGTGATAAAGATAATCCGCTACAAATAAATCACGTGCTAGAAATATTATGACGAGAATTCAATTCAGAGGTTCGCGTCTAATACATATTAAGTTTGGAACTTCCATGAACTAAAAAATTGGTGACCTCTCGAAGCAAAAATTTTCCCGACGAAAAAAAAAAAACATGGAAGAGGAGCCAATAAATGAATAGTAAGTCTGAATTATTCTCATATAAAACGCAACATAAACACCCTAGCGCTAACCGTCTTTTCAAACAGTGAGCGCCAACGCTTGGAAAATATACGACGCAACCAGGAAATTCTTAGACAGCTCGAAATTCCTGAAGCGGCAAATTTGCTTAGACCACAGCCAAAGCCAAAGCCGAAACCACGACAAAAGGTCAAAGTCAAGACCGAACTAAAATTGCCAACGCGACAGTCTTTGAGACTACGAGGGGTTCAACCTGATTCTCAAGAAGCGAAGCGTAAACGTGATGAAGAGCGGCTGAAGATAGAACAAATTGCTCAAGCGAAGCGAGCTAGGGTGAAAGGAAATGTTGTATTGAAAGCCGAAGATGGAGAAGGAATAGAAGACACGGAATCTTTTGTGACGTACTTGGAGGGATTGACTAAGGATGCAGTCGTCATTAAGAAGGAGCTCACCGATAGTGATGAAACTGAAGAGGAAAATGAGATTAAAGCGAATCATATTAAGCATGTATATAAGAATTTAAAAATATCGACGGATTGGCCGTCTGTTAAAGTAACACCTGAACGTATATATTGCGCGGCTGTGCACCCCAACTCGGATAAAATTCTAGCCTCTTGTGGCGATAAAATGGGTTGGCTTGGTTTCTGGGACGCGAACGGCAAAGCTTTCGATGAGGATGAAGAATTAATGCCGGTAACGTGGAAGTATAGATTCCACACACGAACGATTTCGTCGATGATGTATTCTCCGACAGATTGCAATCGCCTGTTTACTAGTGCATATGATGGGATGATTAGATTTTTTGACCTCGAGAAGGCGACGAGTGTAGAGGCTCATGTTTCTGACGAGAATACTCTATTTACCTGTTTGGATACCATCGACGGGAATGTAATTTATTGTTCGAATATTGGGGGGCAATTGGAAGTTAAAGATATCAGGGAACCTATTAATCTGCACACTGTCTATCAACTACATGATCGAAAAATTGGATGCGTGTCTGTCAATCCTGTGAAGAATGATTATTTAATTACTGCTTCACTCGACAGGACAATGCGTCTATGGGATCTGAGAAAGTTGTCTAAAGACGATCCACAGTCTTTAAAACAGATAATTCATTATGGAGCAGTTACCAGTGCCTATTGGAGGCCCGACGGGAAGCAAATAGTATCCACTTCGTTTAATGACAAGATAAGAGTATTTGACTATGATGAATCATCTGACGAATTGGAAGAACGCTTGACCATACAGCACAATAATCAGACTGGCAAGTAAGTAGGAATGTGTCGAGTAAGAAATGGAAATCTTGATAACGATTACATAACTAATGTATCATTATAGATGGGTAACTATGTTCCGTTCTACATGGCATCCCAATCCGAACGTTTATCCTCACTTTGTCGTGGGCAATATGAAACGAGCGGTTGATATATATTCTGCAATAGATGGGAGGGCTCTTTGTATTTTGCATAGCGATGAACTAACAGCTATTCCTGGTAAGTATGGCAGTGCCGAATCTACCATTTAATATACAGAGCGATCATTAACAGACAGCATTTTAACAGCTGTGAATGTATTTCATCCAACTCAAAATATCATTATAAGTGGGAATGCATCAGGAAGGATGGTGCTCTGGAAATGATCAAATTATATTTCGGAAAGCGTGGATTATGCAAAGATTAAATAATATACAGGCTGAATTTTGTAAATAATATAATGACTATTGCATTCGTAATTGAAGTTTTAAAATGCAGCGTGATTTGTCTAAAACATCCATATGTCTAACCAATACGTTAATTAACATCATATCAGAATAAAGTTGCTAGATCACTGGTTACTCGCATCTCGAGCATCTTTACTTTGCAAAAGCTCTCTATTGCTCGGAGATTGCTAATGTCCTGCGGTCTTGATGTGACAAAGTTGATGACTACGCCGGGACGACTAAAGCCAGATGGGGTAGTGCATGCAATCCTAGCAAATATATTTCTTTTAGCATCTGACATTTGAGAACAAAGAAGACGAATAGGAGCGTAGACATGGTCTTGACAACTTACCTTTGAACGTAAATTTCCGGCCGTGATGGCAAGTCATAATTGATTGCCAAAGGGACTTGATGAACATCTCTTTGAAGTGCTAGTGCTTGTGTCGTTATCAGTACTCTGTCAGTACCATTTCTAAATCTTGCTAATGCGGCATTGTGTTGACTTGGTCCCATATCGTTGTGCTAACAATACAATAGTATAATAAGTAATTGCAGAGATAATAGCGACATCAACAATAACCGTAATTTTACGTTATACTCACCAGTGCAACAGCATTTAAGTTTTTAGTACATAGTTTGTACATAACATTGTCAATAGTTTGGTTATCATTACAATAAATGATAGCAGATGGATGGTTGTTATCTTCAAGCAAATCAGCCAATGCTTCCAGTTTCCAGTCCTCTCTATCTACAGCTATATACAAATAAAACTGCCTAATGTTTTTTACCACCTGATCTTGTTTTTTGACTAATATCCTCACCGGCTCACGCATCGCAAATATCTCTGTTAAATTCACAATGTCGGGAGTAACGTTTGCAGCAAAAATCAATGTTTGAACGCTAGTAGTAATTGGAACTTTTTGACGCAACTCTATCAATTGGCTTTTATGTGCGGGTAATATCTGATTATCAGCATCCTCGAGTACAAGTAGTTTTAATTGTGACAAACTGACGGCACCCAAATTAACCAGGTCTAGCACTCGGTCTGGAGTACCGATGATTATATGAGGCATTTTTTGAACCTTCTTTACGTCATCGTTTATATTAGTGCCGTTTACACACAACATGTGGTCAAGCGGCGTCATCATTCCATTAATTAGACTACTAAATGTTCGAAAGACATGTCCAGCAGACTCTTTGACCGATGACAGAACCAAAGCCTGCGTTTGTTTGTTGTACGGATCAATGTGATGTAGTGTAGGAATCGCAAAAGTTCTCGTTCTTTCTTGACTAGGCATTGCTTGAGCGATTATATCATCACCTTTGATAATTAACGGAATACTACATTGCTGGATTGAGGTAGGGCGATCAAGCCTAAAATCGTAAAATAAGTTGCGAGATCATAAATAAGTGGACGAAAAAATGAGTTCTGATGACGCATCGAACTACATACCCTAAGGCCAATATCGAACAAAGAAGCTCGGGTTTAAGCCGCATACTCTCAAACAGGTTTGGCATATCGTCTGCTGAATGCTCAGGAATCTGTCAAACAAAAAAAAAAGAGAAAGGGGTCAAAAAAGGAAAAGACGCAAGCAAGGATGATCTCGTTTTTGTAAGATTCTTACAGATGTATTGTTAATGCTGCCAGCACCATTCCCACTTTTCGGGCTGTTCGCGCTATTTATACTATTCAAACTGTTCACACTTTCCAAACTGTTCATACTATTCATACTGTTCACACTATTCACACTCTCTCTCTTTTCATCATCTGGTGACAGTGAATACGATAATTGAGGAGGAATTGGTGGTTGGCGCTGCTGTTCTCTCGACTCTGCTAATGAATACCCAGATCTCTGCTCATATCCCCCAACGCTAATCCGATGTAAAGGCGTCAAAGAACTTCGCTTAGCCTGACTCTGTAACTTGGGTTGTGGTGTGGTTGATAACGGCGTTGCTAATTGAGAATTCAGTTTATGAATACCATTGTCAGCACGGAGGCTTGTAGCACGGTTGCCGACAGTATCATCACCTTCTAGTTGTTGGATCTCCTGATCTTGTTTTCGTTGTTCTCGCTGTTCCTGACGTTGCTGTTGTTGAAGCAAATGTGATACGTTCTTGTTTAATTCTAGTATTTGTTGAGTAAGCCCATGTATTGCGTCCTCAATTCTCTTTATGCTATTTGCAATGTCATTCAATGCTGGTTGTTGATCAGTTATGCCGCCGGCGGAGAATGGTGGAGAAGGTTCGTCTGCGCAGGAATCGCTGTGAATAGAGGCAACTATTGAGTTTGTTTCTTCCATGAAAGTAAGAGAAAAGGGATGGAAAATTGTATTTAAGGGGAATCAGAACTTGTAAAAGAACATTCAGCATGATCCCAAAATAGCATATTGTAGCACTATGTTTCATAAGTTCGTGAGCAAGCCCGTTTTATTCGAACGCTGATGTCAGATGAACGAAAAAATCGATCGGAAAGAAGTATGGTTTCGTTAAACAAAAAAATAATCGGATTACCGAACATTGACTAATACTTCCGTGAACGTCGGGTTGATCTGCACGCTGCATAAACGCAAATGCCCAAAAAAGACAAACGCACCCCGCATATAATCTTGCATAATAATTTGCCTCGAATCGTTTTCAGGAGACAATATTGGAATTCGTCTGGTATAGAAAACAAAGCGTTTTATCAAAAGCAGACTCACATTTGCTCAATAGTAATAGACAAACTTTATTAGGACGTGTCATGTTGTTTGGACGATAATTTACATAATGCACGTTATTAATATCAAGCAAGACCATGTTATTATCTTGTGTTTTTTCCTTTTCCACTGAACCCGCAAACCCGCAAACCCGCAAACCACTCTTTGTTTATACAATGGGCGTCAACCTAGAAGTAGTGCAATACTAGGGACACCCGCGGAAGAGGTATGGCAAGCCAGGGACCTCCTCCCAATTGCAAAAATTAGTCTAATATCGTAAGGGTTCAGTGAACCCTGTTACAGATATTACACTGTAAAGAACAGATACTACACTTGATCTTAGCCAATAGGCTTGAGAGGATTAAAAAAACTTGAGGGCCTTGGGGGGTTGGTGTATTTATATGAAATGAGGTAGAAGACGCAGTTTATGGGATTTATTTCGTGTCGATAAATTTTATTGGGTGACTAATACCGCAGTCACATGCATGCGGATGACTAATTATTGTAATTAATAGTTTTTCAATTAAAGGCTCAATTCTTTGATCTTTTACCGCATCCAATTACTAGATGTCGATAATATTAAGTTACTATGTATATTAGTGTTACAAACTCATGCTAATACTTGACTCTTACATGATTTAACACTGCCCAATCCCCACCCAAACCTTTCTTCCTCATCGAAGCAAGGTACCAAATACTTTATCCCAGAACTTGCTCGTAATTCCATAACCCAATTCATAGTTCTTATAATGATGTGCTAGGTGATATGTTTTCATCTCTCGCAAATGCATAGTAAATGGACGAGCATGATGGAGATGGTAATGCGTCAAATCGTAGCATACGTAGCCAAAGACAATCCCAGCGACGGCAGCATGAGCAATGTATTTAGGGAAGACTGCGTAGGTTCCGCGTAAGATGGGAACAGCGAGTGATATACCAAGAACAGGTGGCATCACGAGGCGATATCTGGATTGGAAATGTTTATATTAGTAATAAATATCCGGAAGCGCAAGCAGTAATAGAGGCGTATAATAAAGTTACATTTAAATGCAAAGAATAGCATTCGAGTTAACAAACTATCACACCACTGTATATTCCTACACATGCTTCAATCATGATCCTTTCGCTCTGTAATGTAATCCCTTACCTGTCCATGGGCAAATAATGATGAATCCCGTGCAAAGCGAAATGTACACACAGCGCATACTGATTGTCCGGTAAATAATAATCCAAATGGAACAAGAATCTATGCAGCATATATTCCAACACTGACCAAATAGCCATTCCGATCGCAAACCACACGCCCGCACTCGCTACTTCCAATCGTTCGCTAGCAATAGATAAATTATACAGTGAAATTGGTATCCAGATGATTGGAATAACATACCAAGGCGTCTTGGTTAGCATTTCAAGAATGTCGTTTTCGAACAAGCGTGCTGAGTAAGAGAGATGACGGGGTTGATGGACTTGTTTTAAGTAAAAGTCTTTGGTAAATTTGGAGTTGAGCATTTGTGTGAAGAGTGGTTGATTGAGGTTGAGAAATTTGAGTTTTTCGTAGTCGGCATCGGCGTTGGTATCGATTGGACGAAAATCTTCAAAGTTGTAATTTGAGGTGCGGGTAGCACCGTTGTTTATACTATTAATCTTGTTGATGATGCGATCATTTTCCACGCCATTCGTATTATCATCAAATCCACTAGTCTCATTACAGTTTCCATTAACAACATCGCCTATGCACAGTTCAGCCAATACTTCATAAGCAGATTCAGAATGCTCGTGTGAGAAAGAATCTGCCATTATCTTGGTTATTTCTTTTCCTCCCCATTCTTGAATCAGATCCGCACCACCAGGATGGTCAACTGCAAACTCGGACACATCGTAAACTTTGTTATTAAAGATCACCCACAAGTCGTCTGGCACGTTATGCTTAGCCACCTCCTCGCGAGTATATCGATATAGCATTCGTCCCGGCATCGCTACAGTTCCAGCAAGTATAAGAGATCGTTTCTAACTGGAAGTAGTATAATTATGGTGATTTGGGGTTTTTACAAGTTTATGGGTTCCTTTTGCCTGTCAAAAACTGAAGCGAGGCAAAGTAGAAAAATTTTTTGCCTAATAGGAGAAGTTCGGGCCGATCTACTCCCTACGCAAGTATGAGACAGGAAAAATATCATAATGTGACACTCAGCCAAAGAACGATCTAATCCTTATCAGGCATTGAATAAAAAAACACGTGGATTGCACTTGGACTCGTTCGTTCGTATATTGACCCATGTTCATACCCGCATCCACGTAGAGGCACCCGTCCACTATGGATTTTCCCTACCACACACATTTGCCAAAACATGCCCGTCAGACAGATTCGCAGCGACGTTCGACATCCTGTAGACGGAAAAGCCTATCTCCGACTTTTGACGATCCGCCCAGTCCTTCAACCTCACCGCGCTCGTCTCCCCGAATGCCGCCACGACCATCAGGCTCCATTCTCACACGAAAAAATTGGTTAATTCGCATCAACTCCCATCCACTCGATCCACTACCTATTCCTGTTTCTCCGGGCAGAGAAACAAAATCTCCCTTTGTTCCGCCACCCTTAAAAAGAACGCAGCGTATAGTCTTTGTGCCTGAATCTCAGCTCGGGCTAATGGTTGGGCAGAGAAAAGCTAGGCGTCTTGTGACTGAAGACCTGAACGATATATGTCTACATCGGCCGAAGAAGGTTAGTTTTTCGACTACTGAGGAAATAATTGGAACGCAGGAAGCCTACGATAGCGACAATGAATCAACATCAACTCTTGCTGATGATAAGGACGATGATGAGACGTGGTATGACTGTAATGAGGATCTTGTGGAGTGTCAAAACAATTGGATGTATAATCAAAATGCTATTGCAGAAATGGCTGATTTGGAGAAGAGAAAATATGAGAGATTATGTAATGGAAAGAATATAAATGGGAGGAGCGTAAATGGAAGAAGGGCGATAAATGGCGGGATGATGAAGGGAAAGAATACGAGTGCAGAAAGAGTGAATGGGGAACGAGTGAATGGAGAGCGAATGAATGGGAAAAGCGTGAATGGGAAGAGAGTGAATGGAGAAAGCTTGAAGATAGGGAGTATCGATTCAGAGAACGTGAATGGGGAAGGCTTGAAGATAGAGAGCATTAATACAGAGAGCGTGAATGGAGAGAGCCTGAACGGAGAGAGTGAAGAAGGGACTGTCGATTGGTTTACACAGAAAATTTTCGGTTGGTTTACAGGCCAAAAACGAAGATTGAATGACGAGAACGAGTGTGATGATGGTTCAGCTAAAAAAGTATGTAGGCGTGGTAATGGGTATATATTTGATGCGGATCAACAATAAGACTATCGATGTTCGATGATATGAACATGAGACATGTGGATGTTTGTGCTGTGTGGGTTTAGTTATTTGGCAAGTGATTGCAAACTTTGATTTCCGTGAGTGAATTAATGCGAGTGGTGATTCGTTATTTGAACAGTTTTATTTTCAAGTGAACATTGTAAATAATAGTATTATCATTACATTTATAAGCAATCTGTAAAAATGCAATTAGAAGTATTTTTTTTTGTATGATATCAGTTTTAATAATAATAATGTATCAATATATTTGCTATTTGAGTTTCAGAATCTGTTGAACTAGTGACAGGTGACGTGTCTTTACGGTAAAAACTTTAATCGCGAGACCTTATAGTAAACGGAATGGACCCAACAGCAGCACCCAGACTCTATTACAGAACATATTAACATAAATGTCAAGGAATACAACACAGTTGCAAGAAAAGTGACCCACTTTCGATTCAACAAGAATAAGCCAACAATCGATAGCCATCAAATTCGTTGAGATCCAAAGCATGCAATGCAGACCTGAATGATCAAGAAGACCATCCATAAAAATGCGGAGATCTCACGTCAGGAAAAGACGCCAGACACAGGATCTTTTCCGTGCCCGACGTCTTTTTCTGGAAGGGTGGAGTTAATAGCTTTGAGCATGTCTCGCACATTCAGTACTCTTTTTATCTTGTCTCGCTCTCCATCAACGAGGCCACTTGAATCTTCATCTTAATCGCTACGCTTATAATTACTTAATAGAAAAAAAGGCACAATATACTGTTCTCGTATGATAAAATTTACAAATTTCGCCGTGTTAAAATATTGGTGTACCATTAGCATTTTTAGCAATGATTTTCCTTTGAAATTTTGTGTTTCATATGAGACAACCATTTTATCTTTTCAGTGTAAAAGACTAATAACCGAAATGAAGTCGCCAGAGACCTTATTCACAGAAACAACACTTGATATAATAATACCGAATGGTGTCGTACAGTTTACTGAAGAAGAATCGGAGAAGATTTTAACTGCTAAACCTCGGACTTTGGCATTTTATGGTACACATGTTGGTGTGTCCTGGTGCTCTCTTTTTCCATCCCAGTTCTAACATTCAACCCTACTTCTTACAAGAAAAGACGAACACATCGATTTCTACTTGATCCTTCGTCTTCCTTCCGACTCTGGCATTGACGACGTGTCTGCGGCTAAGGCATTTTTCCACCAATTGGAAATAGTTGTTGAGGCGGGTTTAGTCGACTCCACTGTAGTTACTCAACCACAACCACAACCAGCTCCACTACCCGTGTATCGTCTTCCACCTGGACGATCACGATCGAACTCGGCAGCAACGTCACCCTCAAGGCCGAGTTCACCTTTGCCAGGGACGGCAGAAAAGAAGCCACCAAAAGTTGATGGGACGGTGATTTTTCAATCAGTGTACAATCCGAAAGCCAAGGATAAAGACATGATAGTATTTATTAGGAATGATGCATGGTGTTGTATTGTGCCGTTGTCTGTACCCGTTGGTAAGAGTTGTAGAAGGAATTGTATATTGGGTTACACTGGTGAATTATGATTTGTTAATTATTTGAATGACTTACATAGCATACGTGAAAACGCGTGCCCAGACGCCAGCACTAGCCCTTGCTACTATAGTTTCTCAGAGAGTGCTGTCCGAAAAGCCTATCGACCCAGATTGCAAAGGAGAATATGATGACGACAACTTCAATATGATCAATTTGCTTGATGGCCTGTCCGACGGTGCGTGTTATAATCAGTGACGTGTGTTCTTGTGCAAAATCGGTAATATAGTTCTCTTACAATGCTAACCATTGTACAGATCCGTCGCTGAGTGAGGCCTCAAAATATCTTCCGTTGCCTGCTTCGCGCATTTATGGAACAGCAGAATCAAGACGACAAAGTATATATCCCAACACACCGGGTCCAATGACTCCGCAACCTTTGAGACGTAGTTTTAGAAAGATTTTACCGGTGAAGTCTGCCCTTAATGTGCGAATGCGGACTACCAGCGTGTCACCATTGGACAATGTACTTATGATGTCTGTGGAATTAGAAAACAATACAGATGCAGGGACAGCTTTTCATGTGCAAGAAGTGAGAATCGATCTTTCGAGTGCAGTCGTGACACAGTTTGATTGGGGGGGCAAGAAGGTAAAGTTTAGCGCATTGAATAAAATTTTTCTGCTGCTATTTAATGCTAATGCATTTCTCTCACTTTCCATTACAGGAGATATTCCCATTGACTTTGCATCCCGTTGACCAAGTAACATTTCTCTACAGTATTGCTATACTAGAAGAATCCGCTAAAACGTATCCTCAATACTACCCTGCTTCCAACCTCAACTATTCATCTTCCCGCCGCTCTTCTGTTGCTTCAACTCCTCCACCTGTACCTAACGCAGAAGACAAACAACGACATGTATCAATTGTCGTCCGCGGTTCTCCTATTGTCGACGGACAGTCTATTAAAAATATAGAATCACGTTGGAATTGTATGTTAGATTTGAGTAACTTGCGTCGACAGGAGGATTCTCTTCCTCCCAACCTGCCAGGAATAGTGGGACCTCGTTTATCAATGTCGTTGACCAATCAAAAACCATCTGGCTATCAAACACCATCGATTTCCAGACCGGGAACGGGTTCAGTTACTCCCACACCAACCAAAAGTTCATATGGCATAGGGGAATATGCTACAGCTTACGGGCGTAGTAAGAGAGGTCTCGCAGGCTTGCCAATGATGCTAGATAATGATATCGCTAACTATGGGAGCAACGGCGTACTCGATGGTGGGAGGACACCGGCAAAGAGGCATGTTGAACATGACGTTGATGGTGTGATTGTATCTTTTTCAGGTGAGTTAACGATAAATCGTTTTGCTGATGATAAACGTATTAATGTATGGATTCTTGTAATGGGCAGTGGATTCAAAAGTTATTATTGGCAAGGTCTTTACCATAACCGTATTTATTGTTAACCGATCTAAACACGTACGTCGGTTCACTGTCGTGGTACCCAACAGAAGAAGACCCAGTGAATCGTAAGTAGGAATTTTTCCGTGCAAATACATTCAGTTTATCTACTCACAGAGAAATTACATTTATGTATTTTGTTAAAGAGCGAAGAATCTTCCGCCAATTCCCGTTGGGGCCAAATCGACAACACAGAATAATCAATTGGAACCATATATGGAAGAGACCGGTAAGTTTGATGTTGCTTATATCGTTTTTATTGGCGAGCCGACAAAAATAACATAGCATTCACTTGTCTTTGTAGAATTGTTGAGGAGACACACTGATTTCGGAACAAATGAGACGGGTATCATCTGTTTGGAAAATAACGTGCGAGTAGGGTAATTCCTGAATTACATATGATTGTTCGTTTCATCTGAGCCTTACCACTTTTCTTTGTAATAACTTGGTTTTGACGCATTTTTAGGCCATTAAGCTCGTCAACATGTGAAACGACTAAGTTGCACTTTATAGCAATCCGCGAGTCTCTACATGTTGTTGATCTCATACAGCTTGTAGATAATGACACAGGATTCATTACTAATCTTAGGAGTGTACTCGAAGTATACGTTGGCAGGGAATAGATGAGAATAGAATCACGTTCTTATATATAAGTGCATAGAGCTTGCATCTATAAGTTTATATATTGTGTAAAAGGATATTATAAAAAGGTTGTTCGTCGATGGAATACGTAAACCGGTAGGCCTGTTCAGATGCAATCAGGAGAAGCTACGCTGTCGGATTATCAATTTCCTGGAAATTTCAACCCTTTCTATTGTATTATTATGAAAAGAAGAGAAACGCATTAATTATCTCTCAGGAAATATAATGACCGTTAGCGGAATATGGAGCTTACCGATGCTAATATTCCAATAGCGGATTTGGTGGCAAAATCTATGAAGGTGCCAATTTCACTAATGGCTTTTCCTAGTCTCATGACATCAGTTAGTCTATTGTCCAAAAACTTAAATGTGGCTTCAAAGTCTGGGGACTTGTCCTGTGTCATATATAGCTCTGGGAAAGTTTCATTAGAACGATTGCTCAATAACATAAATGCAAGTCGCCAAGGACCAGAACTAGCAATTGTCCAAAAGCATACCTGTTGAAGCATATATTAACGCCAATTCTGTTCTCTTAGAATACCAATTCATCTGTATTATTGTAAATCAAATTGATGGTTTCAGTGAATATGCGTTGTATGATGTATTGTTATTTGAAAAGATCTTTGTAGAATACATGCATATATTTGTGACTTCTTTCTTTTGAGACATCAAATCTTAATTAGTTCAAGCATATGACTGCACACATAAGCCCTTATTAAACAGCCTCTTACAATTACTTGTGCCAACTCTTGATTGCATGTTTTAATTCTGCAACCGGAAATCAATGAACAAGAATTGGCATGGGGTGGCGGATAACGGAGCAAACTCTGATTATATTGGTGCTACCAATAATTACTATATCATTTCGAACGCAATGTCCAAGAATTTTTTATACCTACATCCGCACTCTTGTCACCAGCCAAGTACCAGATATCATCTACAAGCTGTGCAAGGTGTCCAACAGACATTGGCACATTGCTTGGGTGAGCCATTATAGTAAGAGCCTAAATACATTGTTCAGAATGTCAAAACACTACCATTCATGTAAACATAACTACTCAATTAATAATTAATACCTCAGGCCATCTCTTTATGTAAGGCCTCATCAAGTTTAACCGCACAACGCAAGCCATCTTGACCTTCTCGTGAGTCTTCAATCTGGCAATATACCGTTGCAAATAAATTCATTCAAATCACGTTACTTCAACAGCCAGCACTTTGCTCTTTACTCACCCATCCATTTTCCCACTCAATTCATCTATCATCTTTCTCCGACAATCTTCCAGGAAATAATCAATCAAGTCCACTCCACCACGCGAAAATAGTCCGTGGGTCACGGACAGGTATCCCTCAGCAACAGCAGCCTTAGATAGTGTTTCTACTGTCCATCCATGCGCTGGAACAAAAGAAAGTGCTCTCTGAAGAATGCGTGCAGGAATCGGCGTTGGTGGTGTCGGCGGTGTCGGTACGGGTGTTGATTTCAGTTGCGATGAAAAATGTGGAGACGAAGAGTTTGAGCTATGAAAAAAAAATTGGCATTAGCGAATTAGACTATGAATGTGGGGGGGGGGAAGGTAAACAATTGGCAAGCACAGAATGAAACTTATTTTATTAACTGTAACGGTGACTGTGTTAAATTGGGCGTGCTGGTTTCAGACGTGACTGAGCGGATGTTCTGCAATTGGGAAATCGTGAACGAGGGCTTAAAATGACGCTGAGCCTCGCAAACAAAAAAAGTCTTATGCTTCATGGAATTCAATTTTGCGGTGACATTTTTTGATAGAGGGCATGATGTGGTGCTTAACAAACGATGGTGATTCATCGTTGGTTTGAGGATTGAGAATGTAAATGTTAAATTTATACCTCATACAAATCACGTGTTAGATTATCGGGATAATCCAAGGTCACGCTCACAGAAAAGAAATTTCGCTTTTCTTCAGACGACATGCTGGGATCAATTATTCAGACTTTCGCTCGAAAACAAACACACATTCCAATTACCTTTGTGAGGTCTGTGCGGCTACTGACTTTACGTTCTATAAACAATAATTCAAATTTAGCTATCAATAAAAAGGCGTCTTCGGTCGCGCAAATTAATGTCAAAGCACTTTCAAGCACTATTCCACCCAAAAACGTGCCTTCAGCATGGCAATCAACTTCTTCATTATCTCGATTGTTATTGCGACGAAAGTTTTACTTGTCTTCTAAACCTTCATTTTTCTTTTCCAATAAATATAATGTGTCAGCCATATCTTTAAAACCTCCTCCATCATCAGCTTCTCGAGCACTTACAGTTCCCACGAAACCAATAGTAGGGTACTGGCTTCTCAGCACAGCAGCATTAGTTTTTGGAATAGTAATACTTGGTGGATTGACCAGACTTACTGAAAGTGGCTTGTCAATTGTAGAGTGGAAGCCTGTGACCGGTGTTATGCTTCCCGTAAGTGAAACGCAATGGCAAGAGGAATTTGAGAAGTATAAACAGTTTCCAGAATATAAATTGTATGTTTTTTTATTGATCCCGTATTTGTAAGGAATATAAGCATATCCTAACAAGACAAATTTAAGACTTAACTATGAGATGGATTTGTCAGATTTTAAGTACATTTATCTTATGGAATGGGCACACCGTATATGGGGAAGAGCAATTGGAGTAGCATTTCTCATACCCGCCGTGTATTTTGGCGCTCGAGGTTACATGTCTCGAACTGTTATGAAAAAAGTCGTAGGATTGGCTGGACTTTTAGGATTCCAGGTATAAAAGCACTCTTTTCTGTCCAAGCTATGTGGCTTTCACTTATGAATTAATGCAAACTACAACTGCTGAAAACCGAAATTATACAAATTTAGTTTTATTGGTTATTTTTTCAGTGAAAATATATAGCATGTCAACAGAAGTAGTATATTCATGTCAATTAGCTGTTGTTTGTTTCAATATTTGGCTATTTACAATGGGGAAAGTTTTACAGATCTGCTAATTACCTATTTTCTCTCAAACTGTAATCATAAAAGGGAGTTCTAGGTTGGTACATGGTAAAGTCCGGTTTATCTGAGCATCTATTGTCGACTCCGGGCGCAGTTCCGCGTGTGAGTCATTATAGATTGGCTGCACATTTGGGTAGTGCTTTTCTATTGTATGGTGGAATGCTTTTGACTGGATTGCAGGTTTTACGAGATGCAAAAATTACGAAGGGCGCATATGATCTGGTTAGTCTTTCTGTTTATGATTAGTAAATAAGACCTCTCAAGTGCATCCAGGACTTTCTAGCCGACTTTTCATGTGTACATTTAGAGGGGTTGTCTGTATGCACCATATAGATTTCAATTGATGATGTGTTTAATATGATCTTATTATTTAGTCAGTTTCTAAGACTCTTTTGGATTCGAATTTAAACGCATTTCGACGATTTGCTATTGCTACGGCGATATTGGTTTTCATAACGTCGATGTCGGGTGAGTGAACATTAAAACCTTTGTAATCGAATGACTTGCGTGTTCGTGGTCGACTATAAAATCTTATGAATATACATCCAGGCGCTCTTGTGGCTGGATTAGACGCAGGCTTAATATACAACGAATTCCCATACATGGGCAAGAACATAACGCCTCCACGCGACGAGCTCCTCTCGCCAGAATATATTCGCAAGGGCGATAGTCTTCCATGGAGAAATTTCTTTGACAATCCGACAACCGTTCAATTTGATCACCGCGTGCTGGTATGTAAAGCATGTGCACATCGTTGTTTCTTCAATTACTTATTCACATTATCAATTGCATGCAGGCAATGACTACAACAGGCGTAATTTTCGCTCTATGGTTATATTCAAGAAAGTTGAATTTACCAATACAAGCGCGCCGCGCCGTGAATGTATTACTTGGAGTAGTCGGTTTACAAGCAACTCTTGGTATAAGTACTTTGATATATATGGTGCCAATCGAGCTTGCATCAGCTCATCAGGCGGGGAGTTTGACTTTGTTAACGAGCGCTTTGTGGCTCGTACATGCACTTAAGAGAATTCCTGTACGCTGAGTTGATACGATTATGTCTCCGTTTGGGACATTAAATAAGTGTTCCCATAAAGAAGGTTCCTTTGAGTGCTACTTATTGCTTTATTATAAACAAAGCGACAAGTAATCATCATTACAATGTTGTCACAATTGCGACATTTGAAAAGGTGATATCTCGATTACCATGATTTGCCAACCTACAGAAAAGTCCTTCGCTTAACTCTAATCTGTCATGGGGTTGAAATACCATTGACACAAACAACACTTACAACTTTCTGTACACATTCTTTAAAGGCATGAAACTCAGCTGAACACAAGTTCTTGCTAATTCTATCGACTTGGCCAGTTATACATTTTGCATATGCCGTTGCCTTTAACAAAGTATCATTTTAGGATATGTTTAGACGACTCGTCGCTTACTATGACTCGCGATTATTATCACCTGAGCCGAGCATTCTGTCAAACTCTTAGCAAAGATTTTCACAGTCCTTCTCTTTCGAGGAACACTCATCTGGGGATACTACAAATAATTTACTTTTACCCTAGCCATTTTAATAGTGACTTGCAGATCAACACATGATTACGTTAAATTCAACGGTTACTAACGCTGATTATGATACTGTAATATTAAAACTTCTAACGTTCTTGGGACCACCTAAACATTGAGACTTTGCGCAGCCATTATCTCCTTGTAGGTCTCCAAATGATTGCCCTGAAATTTATTTTGAACCTGTGCCTCACGTCCACGTAGTTAACAATGATACACAAAACATGCTGTACCTTTAACATGACTGCGCATATTCAATAAATACTCAGGCCGACAGATTTGGGCAAATATCTTCGACTGCCAAGCATGGCACCTCCAGTACTAAGCAGTGATGTCGTTCAGATAATACTCTCTCATCTCCCAGTTAGATACATATACGCTTTTCGACGAGTCAACCGGGAATGGTACTCTGTTTTTGAACATGCGCTAATGCGTCATCTTCTTGAATGGGAATCTCAAATAATTGTCAAACCTGGTGAGAAGGCGACGCAAGCAGACTCAATCGCCCTTAAATGCGTAGCCTATGACCCACCATCTGGTATTTTTACTTTCAAACCAACCATAAAGTCACAGCCAATTTCATGCGCTCCAAAGTATTTAAAACAGCTCAAGATTCTCTTCAAAGAGTGGGATCAAGAAATAGAATCCATATCACAAAGAATTCGTAGAAATGAGCCATGGCGATCGGCTGAAAGCGTTGAGCCTGACTCTGAGATGGCCCAACATCTGCGTGATCATGCGCGCGCTCTTCTTGTTGGACGTTACGTTGATTCATCAATGAAGGAATACCAGATTTACGAGAAACCTGAAGAAGAGACGGTAACTTATCTAGGCGATGAGGATATGATATTGAAGTGCTACACAAGACCAGTAGAAGCAATGTTGTTAAGACAAAGTCCCGAAAAGACGGTGGCATTAGAGATCGAGTATATTAAAGTTCGTTCTTCCTGGATTGTTTCTGGCACATCCAACCAGAACGCTGCGATTCCTAGATACCAAATTTATCCTGAAAGATACACCCTATTGAACGAGTTAACGGCTGAAGCAGGAATATCGGACTATAATCATTACTCTTCCACGGTTCTTCAATGGATTACATCCAATCACTCAAAGCTTGACCAGGAAACGTTACAGCGTTTGAAAGATACGAACGGTGATTTTACAACATGCGAGAAATTAGCGAAAGAATTGGAAGCAAGAGGAATAACCAGAAGATGCATGTGGCAACACGGATTTTCCAGAAGATTCATATCTGGCCTGGATACTTCAATGACCTTTGAGCAAGTGCTCGAACGAATTGTTAACTCTGAGAAACAGCTAGAGAATCGGGATACTAATCAGACACCAGTAGTGACAATTAAACCACCAGCCAAGTTTTTCGATTGGAAGTTTGGGAAATCTTCTTAGTCAATATTATATTGGAGAGGCGATATTATAATTGTAGGAAACATTTCTATTAATTATTTCATGTTGATGCAGCGAGCTTTGTCCTACGATAGCTGTTGCGATAGAAGTTTTTCCTGTTAATTAACTGAATTGACACATGTTTAATGATAACGATTCATATACGTACTTCCATATCCTATATAATTGTGTAATTCCTGTCCCTGCCACAAACAAGTTGACTGATAGCAATGTTGGGTTGGGAGGAATAATCTGTGTCGAATATCTAGACCATATTACGCCCGTAGCAGTCAAGGCTATTCATTATTTATTATGCAATCATTAGTAAAATGTATTGGAAATACCAGTTATTGATCTTATAATAAAGTATTCTACATACCGACATTTTGGGATACCGACAATTTATCGGCCGGTCTCTTTAAATCACTAAGTCCAGCTATCACTAGACTCTAAATATTAAAGAAGAATTAAAGAGGTGCTACACTCAACGAGAACATTTGTAACGAACTTACCCATTTTATCATCGGAGCCCAGAAGAACACAGTCTTTGGACCTATTTTGCGCAACAGAATAGCTGATAAATACCAATTCTCCATGGAATTATGCATATTCGTTATCTTACCTGCAGGGTGATTCCACAAATTCTTGAGTCTAGTATTGAAGGAAGTTGCCATAACGTTGAAGACCTATCCCGCGAACTATTAGTTCCATTTTTCATGTGACTTTCATATCATTTAGAATGTGGGCTGAAATCATTCATGTGTTAATATAGACACGTGATCAAACTGCACTAGTTAATATTAAGATTTCGAATGCTCGGAAAAAAAAATTCGCTTGTGAATGTAAGCATTTGCTCGCAGAGCATCATTGAGAGATTTGTCTTAAACCATGTTGTATTATTATTTATTTCGTTATGGTTGATTTCTGAAACTAGTGCTGGTTTTGTAGTAAAATATCCGTTTTCTTGCGACGCGAATTTCTGCGCATTGACTATCATTGGTCACATTCTGTGGAACAATGGTTACATTACCACCAAACTTGCAAGTATCTTCGTGTCTTTGTCATGGAAGACTTAAAGAAACTTCCCCAAGACTTACAGACTCAAGAAAACGTTGATCGCCTGAAGAAGCTCCACCTCCAACAAGGTTCTGCAGGTAACGAACTCACTTTTTTTGGTGTTCAACTAAAGGAACGTTGGTGTTGGGGACGTAGTGTAGTGCGTAGAGGGTGTAGACTAGCAAATATTTGCGTGCTGATAACTGACGAGCCAGCAAGGCGGACTTCAGCTGGTCGAAAAGTGACTTCATTTTGATTTCGTTGAATGGTGAAGGTTTCAAAAGTCCAATCCGATTATAACTAAGAGATTCTGATTGATCTGTCAATAAGTTGTTCGCCATGACTTTGAGCTAACATACTGTTGCTTACAGCTTCGAAAAGGTCTTACACGGAAATGCTCGGCACACCTCCTACGCTATCGAAGCTTGGCGAACCCGGTGACAAACATCAGAAAAAAAGAACCTCGAATAATCGCCCAGAAAAAGCGTCGAGCACTGAGCAAGCAGTCTCAGAAACGTCTATAACTTCCGAATCCACTCAACAATTCACATCCCAACTATCAAAAGACACTGATAATTCACTCCCTGCAGATTTCTTTGATGCTTCTAAAAATGACCCCGCTCCGGCAACAGTCGATGAGTCCGAGTGGCAACTATTTCAGAAACTAATAACTAAAGAAACAGAAGTATCAAACGAAATAGCTGATGCGGACGAAGAAGAATTACAGCGAGACAGGGATGAAATGCAAGAGAGAGAACACGACATGTGTCTGAGTAGGTTGGAGAAATTAAAGCAGGCTGCCAAGATGGTCAAAGAGAAGCGAGAAGGGCAGATGGTCGTTGAGAGAGGCACAGTCGATGATCTAAGTGAAGATGACGATGAGGATGATGCTGACGATGATGAAACCTGGTTGGATTGGAGGGCACAACGAGTTTAAAATGGATTTGTGAGTCATGGCTATATTTCTGTTCAATCAAATCTCGCTATCAAAAGATTATTAACTCGTTATTATCATGTCAGGTCATGAATTGGGTCACTGGGCACTCAATCACACTGTAAAAGTCCTAGTAATATCACAAGCACAGATATTCATGCTGTTCTATGTGTTTTCTCAATTCATAAACAATAA